ATTGTTGGCCAAAGAACATTTTCGTCCAAGATAAACAGTCTGGTACCGTAAAGAAAATAGTTTTAAAACCATTGGGAGGAAAATTTCAACATATTATAACCATTGACCAACCTTCCACCTCTTCTTCGTCCACAAATTCAAAAAACGAATATAATGCACTAACACTTACCTATCAAAAAACTAAGGGGCTACGAAGCAAACTCCCTAAACTATATTCTGATAGTTCACTTTTTGCATCGCATGGCATAATTTGTCTGCTATTCTATCCGTTTTGTATCTTATGACTGATTGTCACCAGCTTGTAGCTGCGGGCGACTTCAATATCCCCGAATTATAGTGGCCCAATGTCGATAACGCACCATCTTTATCACTTAAAGAGATACGAGATCGTTTATACGATATTTGTGACCACTACCCGCCAATTTAATATGCACACAATTTTAACAACGCCAAAATGATAAATAGAAGTCACCTGCAATAGTACCTTTTGCAGCATGCACCTGATTCTAAGATGAAAACGAATTCCTAGGCAGGCCAATATTTCTTTATTTAGTGTATCCACTCGATAGATGTGGGAAGTTCACCCATACACGCACGAAAGGACCAAAGCACTATAGAAAATTTGACCACTTTTTTCGGCCCAAATTAATTTATCAAGAACGAAAGATATTTTAGTTCTGATTTTTGTTTTGAGTTCACATGTTCAATAGATTTAGGATTTAAAAAAAAATGTGTGCATGGTACCGGCCACATTTAAGATACACATTCTAACTCAAAAACTAAGCAAGATATTTGGATTCCGATTTTTGAATTGAGTTTATATGGCCAAAAGAACTAAGATTTGATTGTGGGTGTGGCACCGCGATCACATGATAACATATTTAAAAATCACATGCTACCTAAAAAAACAGGTTTTTTTGGTGGTTTTTAAATTAAAGGTTTCGAGGTTGCCTCCTTAAAATATAATATAATATTATAAAGCTTTTCTACTCATATAAAGGAAATTCATGGACTCGGCCGGACTTAGTTTTAATCTCTTTTTAAAAATGAGATTTAATTCTAAAAATTCGTTTGCTAGACTACTTACATTTGTACTCTATTAAAAGGACATCAAGTTTTTTGGACATTTCCCCTACACAAACTCATAAAAAAACCACACTAAAAAGTATTCATATTTTTGAATTCATATTTTTGAATCAAAGATTTTGATTTTGTTCATTAATTTTTCACTTTTTGCGTTTCTAAAATGGCACTCAAATCTAAAATTGCAAGCTCATGTAAGAGTTAACATCAACAGCTGATTTCTTCGCCGTGGCGCCATCTATGAAAATGTCTGGTATGCAACATTGAAAATTGATATATTGTGAATGATATGCAGTTAAAGGTGTTTAAATTCTTTAACTTTCAAAAAATGATTTTGGCCAGAAAGAGAGGTAAAATTTTTTAGAGTGCAACGGTCTCTCTCTCCTTAAGATTAAAATGAAGCTTGTGAGATTAACAGTTATATTTATACCCTTGCAAAAGGTATTACAATTTTGGTGAAAAGGGTGCAACGTAGTGAAGGAGACATCTCCGACCCTATAGAGTATATATATTCTTGATCAGTATCACCTGCTGAGTTGATATGAGCGTGTCCGTCTGTCTGTCTGTCCGTCTGTCTGTTTCTACGCAAACTAGTCTCTCAGTTTAAAAGCTATCGACTTGAAACTTTACACACACCCTTCTTTCTTTATAACTTTGTTATAAATTTCTGTTATAACTTTGTAAACACTAAGCGTAAACATGTATCTCTACCGCCTTTTCTTACATTTGAAAATTCATCTGAGACCTCGGATCAGGCCATTGCCGATCTATTCGCAATATTTTTTCAAACAACTTATTCGCCGCCTAAAATGACAGATAAGCCTTCAACATTTAACATTCAATCAGCAAATCTTATTTTCTGTCCCTTTTTCTCCGAGAATAGCTTATTATATGATCTTTTAATGGGCAAGCCCGTTTATTTGCGAGGCCCCAGGGGCGTATACAGGTATCTGCCTGGGGAAGGGGGCAATCATAATTATACCATAATTATAATTTTGATCAAAAGTGTGCAACGCAGTGAAGGAGACATCTCCGACCCTATAAAGTATATATATTCTTGATCAGGATCACCTCCTGAGTTGATATGAGCATGTCCGTCTGTCCGTCTGTCTGTCCGTTTCTACGCGAACTAGTCTCTCAGTTTAAAAGCTATCGACTTGAAACTTTGCACACACCCTTATTTCCTTTGCACGCAGGGAGTCGGAACGGCCGGGATCGGCCGTTTATATCTTATAGCTGCCATATAACTGAACGATCGGAAATGACCCAACTTACGTGTTTTTTAAGATAGAAAGCTGGAACTTGGTACACATTCTATTTTTGGTCAGTTAATCCGATCTACCAAATTTCATAACGATCGGCTGACTATATCCTATAGCTGCCATATAACTGAACGATCGGAAATGGTACTTGGTAGAAATATCAACTTTCGTATTTTTGAAAATAGAAGCTTGGGACTTTTTTTTAGATTTTTTCTCTTGGGCAAATGGACGTTGTTTGCGAGTATTGTGGTGCATTAAAGTTTTCCGGAGAAACGCCTGGATTATGCTGCGTTAATGGTAAAGTGAAATTGCCAGTGTTGACTCCGCCACATGAGCCATTGTATTCATTGCTTTGCGGCGAAACACAAGAATCACGCCACTTTCTTGCAAATACTCGAAAATACAATAGTGGTTTCCAAATGACGCCATTTGGGGCAGACATTATCGAAGAAGGAGGTTTTAATCCGACATTTAAGGTATTTATTTTTGTACTTACATAGAATGTAGTTAAAGAATCTGGTTTTTATTTTGTAGATACAATTCACCATACAGATTCACCATCGAATTGGATCATTACTACCTTTCGAAGATACACAAAATAAATTTTTACAAATATATTTCATGGGCAACATGGAAGAAAAACTTGATCGACGCCTAGGGATCAATGCAGGAATGAAGCGAGCAATTCTTCAAGACTTGCAGTGTCTGCTTCATGAACATCATGCGTTGGTCAGGTTGTTTAAGAGTTGTCATTGAACATTTAAAATAATCCAGATGCAGTGTGCAACATAAAAACAATCGTCTATGGGCATAGTGCCCATATTTTGGATGAATGCACTATAGGTCGTAAAATTGGAATGGGGAATTGGATTGGTCATTTAGGGATATAAGAAACAATGATAAACTACGGCCCTTTACGGCCCTTTGTTACTCCTTTTAAGGTGTTCACGGTTAACGGACGCTGATGAATTCAATGCTTGCTTAAAATCATCGCGACTGTGGCGTAATGTTGAACAAGAACTGACCAAGAATAAGCGCGATCAAATGCGTCAGGATCCACCCTTTCTCTAAACAACTGTTAGATATTGGCGAGGGGAATTTTGTGGTACATAAAAATACTGGATCTACTTGAAATACTGAAAAATATTTATTAACCAAAATAAATGAAGAAAAAACAGCTAGCCCTTATAGAAAACAAAAAAGGGCAAAACAACGTTTGCCGGGGTTGCTAGTATCAAATAAAAAAAAATAGAAAACATCTAGTACAAAAAGATAGAATAAAACTTTTTATTATAATCAATTTTTGTTATACAAGTAATCAATTTTAATTTCATAAATATATCATGGCCATGCATATAAAAATAAACGGACATAAAATAATCATACATAATATAAACATATTTTAGATAAAAATAAAAAAAATAAAGAAAAATAGTAAAACTAGTAAGTGTAAAACTGAAACTTAAACAAAAAAAAAATTTAATCCTATTGCTATAAATTATATCATTTCTTAAAGTTTGTAAAATTTATATTAGAAAATACCTCCATTATATTACGTTATTTTTCAAAGGAGCTAAAAAAGGATTTTTTCGACCACCCATTGTACCAAAAATACTAAAGGGGGAACACACTGTAACACATTGTCGAAGTTTTTACATAATTTGAGGTCTCGGTCATATCTGAACCTAAGTGCCCGAAATACGCCCGCTGTGTCTTAGCCGCAAAGTTAATTCAATTTATCCCGAAGTTCACTTTTTAAAAAAATAATTTTTTATTCTTTATTTTTTATTTTAAAAAACTTTGTTATTATTTCTTATTTGTTTCACAAACTTCGTTTAATTGCTTAAGGCTAGACCGATTGAAGATGACAGGCCTGCTCCCGGAATATGACTGCCAATTTTTAATTACCAGATAACCAACAAACCTCGGCTTAAGAGAAATAACCCAAAAGGGTACATGGAAAGAATAAACAATTGCCCTAAGAGATTCTAAGAGAAAGGGACAATTGGTTGATGCAATAATTGAGTCATTGGTGAAGAGTGGTAAGATCGGAAGATCAATCAAATTCGGACTTCTTACATATATGTGCAAATACCTCGGCCTAAGCGAGCATAGCTATATACTTAAGAATAAATAGCCGTCTCTTCGCTGCCGCTGTTGGCAACAACGGCTGACTGAATCTGACTTGAAAATAAACTGAACGGGATCGTTGATGGTGGAAGAAACCTATTACAGTCATTTGCCATCTTTCAGTTATATGACAGCTATAGGATATAGTCGGTCGATCGATTAAATTAATCCAGATCAAGAATATGTATACATTATAGGGTAGAAAATGACTCCTTCACTGTGTTGCACATTTTTGACCGAATTTCTTTTCCTCTGCAAGTATATAAACAGTATAGGGTGTATTTCAATATAAGGCTGATTTCAGTAATTGAAAAGTCAAACGATTTCCCGGCCTGTTGGGGTTGTACTTCAGAGCAGGCCTGCCATAGCCCCCGGGGCCAAAGACACAAGTCACTATTTTGACCTAATAATAGATAAGATTTTAGATAAAATGCTACAAAGTACTTTTTTTGAGTTTGCATCGGTGAACCCGTTGTTATATCATTAAAATAGCCATTAGCAATAAAAACTTTCTATTAATTGTAGCTTTTGGGATATACGGGGCCTATTTCCACAATGTCTGGAGCTTTGAGCCCTACCAATTTAAGCCTTTATTCAGCTCCAATGGCTGTTACGCGTTCAAGTACCCGGACACGTTGGAACGAAGAAGAGCTGAATGTAATATCGCATTCTATATCTAGTACAAATATAGAAAATACTCAAGTAATATTAATGGATGATGGTAAGTTTATTTTTTTTTTATATAACATGAATAATTTGCTTAAATAATTTTTCAGCATCGGGGCGCTATATTGAAGAATACGCAAACCGTGACTTTGAATCATAATTTCAAACATTGTATGGTTTAGAATAAACTTGAGTTTTATGGAAAAAATATAAGTACCTAAAGTATGAAAAGACAAATTTTATAAAAATCATAATAATCAAAGGAAATAAACTATTAATGAAACGTTAATTAACAAAATTGTATGGTATGCTTTAGGTAGGAATAACAAACGAGCAGGCAATATTTCATATAACAGGCAATATATTACATTTCAAGGGCTTAGATAAGTTGTCGAAAGGCCCTATTCCGGCGGCAAAGAACATTTTTTTGCCCGAACTCTGCTGTGTGCGGCAGAATAAACAAAATAAACGTATGAAGCGTATGCATTAGTTACTTATACTAATGCATTAAAATTATATGAATGTATTAAGGGCCGACCACTGGTTTAGATGTTTTCAAGAGAGCAAAACGCTATGAGGCAGACAGTTCCAACTCATAGAATATACATATGTAGTTTCTTTGTAAAATTAGATGCACCAGGGCAACGGACGCCTCTGTTAAGGCTAGTAATTCAGGAATTAGTATTCCAAAAAGGGAAATAAGAAAATTTTATAAAATTTATGTATTAGTGTAAGTATTTTATTTTAGTAAGTGCTATTTTTAAATCTATTTTCTAGAAATATATACATATGTTATATTCTATAAATATGCAAATAAAAACATAATATATATAATAATAATTATAACATTTATTAAACAGATAAGATTAAGTAAGGACCTATGTTTTTTGTTGTGGGTGCCCCAAGAAAAATTTCGTTAATATTTATTAATATCCAATAATTAGTCAAGATTGGTTGACTATATATTATTGCTTCAATATAACTCAACCATCAGAAATGGCTTAACTTGCGTACCTTTTTAATCTCAAACGACATAAATATGTAACTTTAAATCGAACCTCATATGTGGACTAGGACGAGTAAATTTGTATGGACCAAAAAAAAAAACGTGGTAAGCGACCATCAGAATCAGAAACTCTAAAGTATTCTTAGCATATCTCACTAAAAAAATCTCTGCTCTGCGGGAGGTTAAAATCCATTTTGGACCCGTACTTTCTACGTGATATGTATATTCTTCGAATACTTTCCAATTTTAATGGTCGCTTATAGCAATCAAATTTACCTGTCCTATTGTAGACATATTAGGATATGTATAGACATTTTTTGTAACATTGTGGGTCCTCCTAACATTCGTCTGTTAAACTAACTTCTCACTTTATAGCTACAGATTTCAAACATTGTATACGTGCTTCTTTTCTTTTCATACACTCTGCTGGATAGGTCAAATAGATTTTGTACATAGCTGCCGATAGCTGAATCATAAAATAACCCTTATCAAAGAAGGGTCATATTATGGAATAGAAGCATACCAAGTATCATCTGGTAAGGATACTCGACTATAGCCGTCGATCATTGTCATATACACTATGTGATACCTGGAATTCTTCTCTTTAACCAACATTCAAAAAATTGTGTATTTCAAATTAAATTGATTTATATATAGTTTATATATACAATAACAATAAATTATATAAGAATACAAATATTATAATAATATATTTTAATATAATACAGTCTATATATTATAAAGACTGTATATAGATTTATATACACATATAGTATATATGTATGATAATGATATTGATAGCCATTATATATTATTAAGATTAAAAAGATTGAACTCTTTGATAGATCAATAAAAGAACAAGAACAAAAAATTGTAAAATACGAGTAGAGTATCGAAAGTTCAAGAACTTTTTAAATATATGGATGTATCTTTGGATGTTTTAAAGTTTAAGGTTTAAACTATGATAGATTTTAAAAAATAGTGGTCATATTGAGTCGAAAATAGCTAACAACATTTATTTAAGAAACAATCGTACACTGACTGTAGTACATTTGACGAACGGTAAATTCAGCTACATATGATCAATTTGTTGAATATGTTCTTGAGACATTGTATTTTACTGGATTTAAGCAGAATTTTACAAACTTTAGAAAGTTAAATTTTTTTTTTTGCTTCTTCTTTTCTTTTAAAAATAAAAAAGTTCCAACCAAAGCACCTCTAACAATAAAAAGTTGCAAAAATCAAGAAGCAAACTCAGTTGCCTCTTTTGGATTTTTATACACTACAACTTCTGTAGACGGCACAGGATAAAAAACCAATAAAATGTACAATATTTTCCGACTTTTGCTACTTTTTCTTTAGTTTTTTAATACATAGATTTTAGTCTTCTAATTATCCTCTTAATTTTGCCTGTGCGTCAGATTTTTTTGGTTTTCAAGCTAAAATAAGTTTTTTGGAGAGGGCCCAAAAATCGACGTCCATGAAATATTTACTAAAACACGTTTGATAGCTTGAAGTAATAAAGAATATATAGGCAAACTAAAAAAAAAAACAAAGCATTTGTAACCTACAAAAATTATTTTAATTTTTATACTTAAAGTGTAACGCTGAATTGATTACATGATCAAAATTTGATTTTTAAATACTCAGAACAGATAAATGCAAAAGTAGACGGTAACAACTTATGTATTTAAGATTTTTTATTCAATGTACAACAAAATAGGAAATTTATTGTAATTCTAAAAGAAGAAATTATGAAATGTAAATTAAAAAGTGTAGCAATGTACATTGCTACATCAATAATCACCTTTCATCATCAGAATTCAGACAGCCATCAGACATCAAAGTTTTTATTTCTCCTTAAATAAAAATTATCTTTTTGGGTTGCTGAAAAATTAAGAAAACATTGGCAGATACTAATCAAGTTTTCTCCACCCGTGCTATTGCTGAAAAACTAAAAAAACATACGCCTTATTCGCTACTATGAATCCAAATTCAAATGAACGGAAAACAGTAAGGTCTGGCGCAAAAAAGGACAAATACTTAGTAAATGTAACGTAAAGTCTTGACTAATTTAATGTAATGGTTTGTGTTTTAGGTGGTAAAATGTAGGGAAATTAAAATAAATGGCATAATGTAAAAGAAACATAATTTAGAAATTCTTCAAAACGATCTGCCAGAATTTTAAAACGGAGTATATTTATGTTGCTACTGTTTAATTTTTTTTTACTAAATGGCTTTTTTACTGTTCATAGTAGTGCACATAGTGGTGAAAAGCAAGCCTTAGTGTACTCTACGAGTACCGGGTATAACAAGAGGGGACGTCTGAAGTCGAGTTTCCCGACTATTACACCTATTATTATACTATTCTACTATTATACCCGGTACTCATCTCTTTCACCCAAAATTGAACTAACCTTTAAAGTTGCTAAATTTTGAGCTTTGGCAAAAATAAACAACGGCCTACTACTACAACTTACGTCCATATTACCGATTCAGTAGAAAGCAGACTAAAAAGTCCATAACTCCTCTAAAAATGATCCGATCCGAAAATTTTAACGCGTGGATCTCGAAAACTATAAGAGATAGAACAGATTTGTAATTTTAACTTGTATGGTATTCAAGCTTATGTCAAATTTTTGCCACGCCCACTTCCGCCTCAAAACGAAAATCTTGTAACGCCAGGGCAGATGGTATTATAATTTTGGTCAAAGTGCAAAGCAGTGAGGGAGATATCTCCGACCCTATAAAGTATATATATTCTTAATCTTGATTCTTTATGAAATGATATAAGCTGTCCAAGCAGCCTGTCAGTCTGTCTGTTTTTACGCAAACTAGTCTATCAGTTTTAAAGCTATCGACATGAAACTTTACACACACCCATCTATCCTTTGACTGCGTGCAAGTAACATGCGTGCACTACATGTAAGTCGGACTTTATCCTATAGCTGCCATATAACTGATTGATTGGAAATGCTATAACTTTGGTGTTTTTAGAGCAGTGGGGGGCAAAACTAACACATGTTTAAAATTTGAGTGTGTGCGTAGCAGAGAAAAACAATGGGAGCAAAGAATTCACTGAGCGAAAAAAACGTATTTTTTTATTTCATTTTTCGTTAATTCAAAAGCTGTAATGGGCACTAAAATTGAGTATTTTATTTTAAAAAAAGCTTTGCTAGCAACATTTCTTAAATAAATAAAAAACTACGCTTCCCTATCTATATTCTTCATGAAAAAAACGTTTTCCAACCCAATTTCTGAAAAAATTTTTCTCAGTGGAAAAATTTTGATTTTTAGTTTGGGCTGTCAAATGAATCAAAATGAGAGCAAATGAGAGAGCTTCTAAAAAAAATTTGAGAGTGCTCACACTGTCAGTGTGCCGGCAGCGCTGCGGCAGAATTTCCTACCCTATACTCGCGTGCTATGTAAAATGAGAGTTTGCCCACCACTGTTTTAGAGTAAGAAAGTTGAGATTTTCATATTATAGCTGCCATATAACTGTAAAATCGGAAATGACCCAATGTGGACTTTCGTTTGAACTTTCTACAGAATAAATTTGTTGCCAATTGAATGGACCTACCAAATTTCATTGGATTTGGCCGTCTATATCTTATAGCCACCATGAAACTGAACAATCGGAATTTGGTTTTGGATAAACTTTGGTACTTTTGAAGAATAAAGTGGGACTTTAAATTCTGTATTTTAGAAAAATTTGTTTTATGATAGTATTCTCATAACGATCGGACCAATCGTATATCCGGTATTTGTGATTTATATCAGATCTTAACTGCATGAGTATATCAACTTCGGCTCCGCCTTAAAAGAAGTTAGCTTTCCTATCTTTTTTGAAAATGTTTTGATGTCAAGCTATCCCAATGCCTAATCCTTAGCTTCTTACTTAAAAAATAACTGCGTAAGAGAAATTCATTCCTTCAAGTCGACCATTCTGAAAGAAACAAAAACAAGAATGTATTTCTTACAGTGAAAAGTTTTCGGCAATCAAACAACAAAATTCATTCGTATTATCCCGATTGAGAAAAATGGAAAAACATTTTTGTATTGTAATTTCGCTTTGCCTATGCTGAACATACATAACATATGTAACTTTGCCTTTTCCATATCCTACACAAAGGAAGGACGAGAGCAATGGGAGTGGGAATCCCTGCTTTAAACTTTAAAGGTTAGTTAAAGTGTGGGAGGAAGAGACGAGTCGGGAAACCAGACGATAGCCGTCCTCTCTTTTTATGCTCGATTGAAGCTTGAAATTCGGATCCGAAAAATTTAATTTTTTCAAATGAGCTAAAGGATCTCCAAGTAACAAAATACAATTTTACATATTTAACAAGTTTGTTACCGATTTGTAGTGAAACATCGGGGTAGGTACAAATAATTATGTTCCATTACATGGTGCAATGATTACGTTTTCATATTGTAAGAGTTTTATTATCTAACGATTGAAAAGAAAAGATAAAATTCTTTGAATGTTTACGTTTTATTAAATGGGGGGAGAACGTCAAAAATCTTGAAAACGTGATTACGTGACAGGCCCATATTCAATGTTTTATTTTTTGGAGCTTGTTGACTTGTTTTGAAATTTTTGGCATGCATATGCATAAGCGTAATGTGTGGGAATGGGAATTAGCAGTGGGAATTTATGTTACATAATTTGCTTGAAAAAGATTTAGCACAAGTGTAACATTTGAATTATGAAAATTATTTATGAAAAAATTTCTTGTTGTTTTGATATATGTACTTGACATTTTTGTCAATG